AGTCAAATCCAAAAGAACCAGAGTGACACAAGCTCTGTTTTCCCGAGGGACATGCACACAGAGGGATACAGCAGTGCCAGCTACGGGCAGTCATGCCGGAACCCTCTGCAACTAGAGAAAACGTAATTCATTACTATCACAGGGCTGCTGCACCCTGCCTCCCTGAAGTCAGAGGCCCTGTTGTTCCCTTCTGTCTTGAAGCCACAGCTTTGTTTGTTTAGTCGAGCTTCGTTAAGTTCCGTGGTGCTGTTTTGTTTCCTCCTTTAAACTGCCACCACCTAGGGAGATACAGAGATATGAAACCCAACTCAACCCACTGCTATCAGCCCACTGTGACTCATTAGCAACTGCATATAGATTGTGGCTCATAGCAACCCGATGTAGGGTTTAACTGTAAATCTTTACAGGAGTGGAGAGCCTTATCCCTCTCCCTGGGAGTGATTGGTGGGTATGAACGTCCAACCTTGTGGTAAGCAGCCCAGTGCCTAGCCCACAGAGCCACCAGAGATCTGTTGAAAGTAGCAGACCCTAAAGTGTGCAATGGACTGAGCTGAAAAGGTAGGGTAGGAAAAATGGTGATGTTAGTTGCCATCGAGTCTCTTGCTGATAGAGACCCCAAGTCTTCTGAGGACCCTCTGGGTGGGTTCAAGCCACCAGCCCTTCACTAGTATACCGGGACTTGTGCCACCTAGGCTCTCTTGGTAAGTGGTTGTTGTTTTCTGCTAAGTCAATTCCAAATCATAGCGGTAGACAGTAGAGTAGACCTGTCCCAGAAGATTCCCTTGACTGTGATTGCTACAGATTGCCAGGTCTTTTCTCCTACGGGGTTCATGATTTGGACCCTTCACCTTTCAGTTAGCAGTCACCCGGGCTCTTTGTTAAATGGTACCAAACCGAAAACCAAACCCACTGCTATAAAGTTAATCCTGACTCATAGCACCCGTATATAGCAGAGGTTCCCAAACTTATTTGGCTCAGCACTTCCTTTTCAGAAATAAAATAACTCAGAACCCCTGAAAATAAAAAAATAAAAAAGTACGATAGCCCATAATCCAGGATAAAGCATGGGCATAGGCTTTTGAACTCTCCTTAGATAGTTGTGATGCCCATAGGGGGCGGTGCCACCCACTTTGGGAAACACTGCTTAATGGGGTTTTCAAGGTTTTGCAAATCTATATGGGTGCAGACAGCCGCATCTTTCTACATGGAATGGTAGAGGGTTTGAACTGCCAACCTGCTGGGTTGTGAATATGTACTTCCCAGGCATGGTGGGTTACACAGTGGGCTGCCAACCATAAGGTCAGCATTTTGAAACCATCAGTTACTCCATGGGAGAAAGAAGAGGATTTCTATACCCATAAAGATTTAAAGTCTTAGCAATCCACAAGGGTAGTTCTACACTAACTAATAGAGCCTCTATGACTCAGAATCAACTCACTGTCAGTGAGTGAATGAATAATCAGGGACTTCAAAATGGTAGCTGCCAACTAGGAGGCAGAGGGCATTTATAGAGGTCTAAATACAGGCATGTAGATATGTAAATATATTTATATATAATGATAGGGAAATATATCTATATGCATATATTTATAGGTTTAGTATTAAGGTAGCAGACAGACATTGGGCCTCTACTCAAGTACTCCTTCAACACAAGAACACTTTGTTCTATTAACTTGGCATTCCATGATACTCACCTTCCTGACATGATAGCTGAAGACAAAGTGAGTGCATAAGCAAATGTGGTGAAGAAAACTGATGGTGCCTGGCTATCAAAAGATATAGCGTCTGGGGTCTTAAAGGCTTGAAGATAAACAAGCAGCCATCTAGCTGAGAAACAACAAAGCCCACATGGAACAAGCACACCAGCCTGTGTGGTCATGAGGTGTCAATAGGATCAGGTATTAGGCATCAGAAGACACAGAACAAACAATCATATCATTGTGAATGAGGGGGAATGAGGAGTGGAGACCCAAAGCCCATCTGTAGATATTTGGACATCCCCTTATAGAGGATCACAAGGAAGAGACGAGACAGTCAGGGTGCAGTGTAGTACCGATGAAACATACACATTTCCTCTAGTTCTTTAATGCTTTCTCCCCACCGCCTCCAACTATCTTATGACCCCAATTCTACCTTATAAATTTGGCTAGACCAGAGCATGTTACACTGGTACAGATAAGAGCTGGAAACATAGGGAATCCAGGACAGCTAAACCCCTCAGGACCAATAATGAGAGTAGTGATAACAGGAAGGGGAAGGGGAAGGTGGGGAAAGAAAGGGGGAACAGATCACAATGCTCTACCTATAACCTCCTCCCAGGGGGATGGAGAACAGAAAAGTGGGTAAAGGGACACATCAATCTGTATGAGACATGAAAAAAAATTATCAAGGGTCCATGAGGGAGGAAGGGGGAAAATGATGAGATGATACCAAGGACTCAAGTAGAAAGAAAATGTTTGGAAAATGATGGCATAGTGAAATGGTGGATAGTGACAAGCGTTGTACGAGCCCCCAATAAAATGATTTTAAAGAACCCCTAACTTGTAGCTGTCACGGCCCCTCTGCTTCCATCTTGTCCCCTGCTGGTGTAACTATGGCCTCAGGGCCAAGGGTGCTGATCATTGATCCAAGGCCTCTTTTCCAAGAACTGGATTGTTCACGTTAAGTAAGGAGAATCAGTTTTTCAGAGGAGGGCAGGAAGGGGAATTACAGCTGAAATTGTACCCTAGTTTTGTTCTTCTAAGTCTCTGACAGGCCTTTCTACCAAGACACCCTAGGTGGACGGAACCACCAGTCTTTTGGTTATGGGCCCAGTAAGCAAACCACGGCATCACCCGCCCAGCGGCACGTTCCCAACCTTCGTTTAACTTCCAAATGTGCAGCCTGGGAAGTTCAGCTTCTCGTGATCTCGCAAATCAGTCCAAAACTTGTGGTCGTCAGAGGGGAGTTCTATTGCTCAAGCAATCTCAAGACCTGCCTTAAACTGCCATCGAGTGCTCCACACCTGGGGCAAACCTCAAGCTCTTAACTCTCCCTGACAGGAAGTAGGCGGCTCCCAGGAAAGGATCCTCCTTCTTGCACAGCCCAGATGTGCCCAGGGAGGACGTCCCCACGGAGGCAAGTTAGGAACTACCAGCAACCGACTCAGGCTCTGGGCCCGGTCTCAGACTCTAAAATGCTCCGTGTCCTGGCCCTTCACTAGACTTCCAGCTGGCCGGGCCTGTGGTTAAGGTCCTCCCCGGGGTTCAAGTCTGTGGCGTTGGCATTGACTTGCTCCATTTCCTCATCATCTTGGCCAAATCGCTTAACCTCTCAGAGCTCTGCTTACTTCTGTTCAATGGGCTAGTCAAAGCACCCGCAGTCCCTTTGAGGAGCCTGGCACTGCAGGGGTTAAGCATCCAGCTGCTAATTAAAAGATCTACGGACTGAACCCATGCGTAGCTGGGGTGGGGGGTAGGGGAGAAAAAGATGGCAGTCTGCTCCCATAAAGATTGACAGCCTAGTAAACCCTATGGGGAAGTTCTACTCCATCCTTTATGGGCTATAAGTTGTCATTGATTCCATGGCAATAGATGGGGGGTAGCAGGCATAATACCTTTGATTACATGTTGGGCTGCAAAGTCAGCAGTTCGAAATCACCACCTTCTGCTCCTTGGGAGAAAGATGGACTTTCTACTCCCCTAAAGAGTGACAATCTCAGAAACTCACAGGGGTGGTTCTACTCTGACCTATGGGATGGCGGGGAGTTCGGTGATACCTTTAACCTGATGGCGCCCTGGGGAAGCCCGAGGTGGCCACTCAGAAGACCAGCAGTTTGAACACAGCAGCAGCTCCGCCTCAGCCCAAACCTGCCGCTCCTTTCTGCGAAAAGGCGGCTGGCTCCTGAGGGGACTCTTCTGAGTCTGCAGGACAAGCTGCTGGACTGAGAGAGGGAGATGATGCCCGAGAAAATGGGCAGGCCCTGAACTTCCCAAGCCAGATCAGGATGAAGGCGCCACAGTGGAACCAAGACGCCCCACTTCTGGGTTCCTCCATGTTAACTCCTCCCGCCTCTCACCACAGCCTCATAACTGAAGACTTGCCTGGGACACGGGTTCTACTTAACCTTCTCAGGGTGCACTGTGGCTCTGAGTCCTTATCTGGTCGATATGCACCAGAATCGACTCACTGGCAGTTGGTTTTAAAAAAAATTTTTAAGCCTTTTCAAAAATGCTGTGTGTGTCATTGCATTGTGAGGATTAAAGGGACAATGCCTATAAGGTATTTAGTCTAGGATAAAATTTTAAATGTCAGCAATTATTATTCAGAAAGCTTGATGTATCATAAAAATACAATATGGACTTCTGTTATTGATATCCAGTCAAGCAGTGAATTTTCCTGGAGCATGCAAGTTAGGATTTGCTTTATACAATGATATCTTTTTCAATGTTCTGGAGTGTGTGTTTAGGGCAAAGTGGACATATCTGTGGTAGCCCCCTTCTCTCTTCTCCCAAGTACCCCCTGCGTTCCCCATCTTCCAACTCGTTGCCTGTCGTTCCCCTGAACGCATGATCTTGTTTCGTCAGAAGAAGAAAAACAGACTCAGTGCTGGGTTTCATTTTTTCAAAGGGGGCATCTTTATTGTTTAGCACATCAACACTTGTCTGTCAGTCCGGCGGCTTGGACACAGCGCCTGCCTAGAGCCGTCACTCACTTCTTAGTCACCACAGTACGAAAGGGGAGGGCGGAGGTGCTGGAAAGGGCGTCTGGGATTCTCCCAGAGTTAACAAGTCACAGACAGAGTTCCACCGTGAAAATAAATAAAAAATTAAATAGTGAAAAAAACCAACAACAGCAGTGAAAATAAATAAAAGCCATTAAATAGTACAAATAAATTAAACATTAAGAAGCATCACAGACTGGTTGCTTGGCAACCAGGCCTAGGAGAGGTAGCTGTGGAGGCTCTGGGGATGTTTCTGAGGTTCGGGAGGTCACTGGATTCTTTGCAGCTTTGAAGTCACTCAGGCATCCAGCTCCAGGCTGCTGACATACTCCTGGACCCAGGCCTCGCTGGGGTTGGCACAGACTTGCCGGTTCTTTTTGGTTATGAAGCTGTGAAGGGAGACAGAGGTTCAACACGGAGCGACCCGCAGGAGAATCTTGGGTGCACTGTGGCTCCCAAGTCCATCTCAGCAAAGCTCAGGGCCTGCTTCACTTCCTGACTCATGGGGGCCCCCTTGAGAGGCTCTCACTGCTTTCTTCCCGTTTTTTCTGTCTGGACGGGGAAAGCCCTCCCCACTCTGGAAGCCCCTACCAGGCCAGAGCCCACATCAGAGGCTTCTGTGTGGAGCGTCTTTACTAGGTCCCAGTAGGATGGGGCCTTCTGAGATGGCTCCACTGGCCCGTGTGCCCCTGGGGAGGCTCCCGCCCAGAGCCTCCCTTGTCCCCCAAGAAGTGGACAGGGAGACTGGCACTTACATGATGCCCGGCTCAGAGCATAGACTGTTGGTCTCGTAATAGTCGACGACAAATTTGCGTGGAACCTTCCGACTAGCATAGGAGAAGCAGCAGGCACTCGGGGTGTCGGCACCAGCTGTGGAGGAAGGGTCACGATTCAGAAGAAAAGGCAAGGCAGCTCTCTGGACCCCCTCAGAGGACGCTCAGAGGAAGACAACTTCATTCAAGGGTCAAGGTTGGAGGTCGAGGCCACTGGAAGGCATTGGGGCCTATTGGCCTGACACATTTTTCTAGCTCTTTCTTTATTTCTGTCGTGTTCTACTTTCTCTTTGAATTGTCATCTTGACTCTAAAAAAAAGTCTTACTGACTTTATTTTGGCTCTTTATAGGATCCTGTATCCAAATAGACTATTATTCTCTTAGCTTGTCTCCCTCCAAGGGCATTGCATCAGGGTGGAGAGATCATACCCCAGCCAAAGAGAAACCTTGGGCCTCTCTCGGGCAGGCTCAAGGCAATCAGTGGTGAGTTCGTGGACGGATGCCACCACAAGACAGTAACCCTTGAGGGACACATTCATTTAGGCTGCCATTTTGCTTTCTGTAAAACGAGACGGTCATTTCCCTACCCCACCCTGACGCTCACGGGAGCCGAGGCCCTATGATGAGGAACATGAAGCACTGAGCGGACAGGCTGAGGTGTTTTATAACCCTGTTAAGAGCTCTCTCTTTTCTCTTGGGACTATCAGGCAGATTAATGGGGTCCAATCATGGCCAAGGAGTAGGGACAACCACACACAGAGACTCACCCGGTGCTGAGAAGACCTGGGCACAGAGGGTCGCCAGGCAGAGGAGGCTGGCAAGGGCAACCACAGGGACCTTCATGGTGCTGAGCAGGGAGAGGCGTGTGATTGGCGTGTCAGCACAGCACTGTTGGGACTGCTTGCTCACTGCCCCCTGCTCTTCTGGAGTTTGGAGCCATCTCGTCTCCTCTTTATAGGCAGTCCTGGTTAATGGGGAAATGGAAATCGGGGGCGAAGGGGGAAATTTTTAAGCATCGTGGTGTTGTCATACTGAGTGTAGCGCAAGGCAGGGCGCCCGTTGACCACAGGGGCTCAGGATATCCAAGAATAGCATCTGTGAGCTGTACATCTCAGCCTTCCGCTCGTGACTTGTTTGGGCTTCTTGTGGGGAAATGCTATCCCTCTCGAGAGAGGCGTGTGTTAGCCTAGGGCCACTCTCAGAAGGCCCTTCGCATAAGCATGGATCTATAGAAGGACTCGATAGTCCCTTTCCTTGTCACCTGCTGAGATGTCTGTGCTTCCCCCAAAGCACTAACCACGTGAAAGGGGCAGTGAGGCCTGGCACAAGAAGCCTCCCCTAGATGGAAGGCCTGGGGAGTAATCCCCAGCCAGAGGAATAGGAAGTGTGAAGTCATGAGTCAATTTTTCCTCCCTTCATCAGTCACTGGGTAACTGGAGGTCCTGGGTGGAGCCTTAGCTGAGGGTCATAAAGATGTTATTAGATGTGGGTGTTTGTATATGTCAAGAGCCTACAAATATTTATACCTAGAAGAAAATTTCTAGGAAAAAGTTCTAAGGAAACAAGTCCACATTTGATGGTATGTTTCAAACACCAAGACATTCGACCCAGCCTCACTTACAGCTTAAACCACGGAAACGTCCATTTTCCTCCATCAAGGAATGATAAGGCCAATTATTGTACAACTACTGGATTATTTCTATTTAAGCCCTTAACATTAATAAAGTAAAATGGCATAAATGTACTCCTAACATCAATTATTTTTAAAAGATGGAAAATCAAACAAATTACACAGGAGGGAGGATTCTACAAATGCATATGTGTACAAGTACATAGATATGCTCAGGTTGCCAATGAGCTGACGCCACCTCAAGGCACCCCCAGGTGGGCCAGAGGGGACCTGTGCTCCGGGATTGATTTTTCACAAGTAGACTGCTTGGCCTTCCTTCCAAAGCACCTCTGGGGGATTCAAACGTTCAACTTTTTGGTTAGAAGCTAAGCATCATCCAGGGACTATTGCCTATTCTACACACACACACACACACACACACACACACACACACGCACGCACGCGCGCGCGCGCCCGCCCGTGATGCACTGGGTTATTTCTGAGGCTGCTGAACAGCAGGTCAGCAGGTTAAATCCATCAGCCTGCTCCACTGGTGAAAGGTGAGTTTGTCTACTGCCATAAAGAGTTAGAGTCTTGGAAACCTTAAGGACCAGTGCAACTCTGTCCTATAGCAGCATTGCTGTGAATTGGAATCTACTTGATGGCAGTGGATTATACGCAGATGAGGGGACTTAACGAAAGTTTGCTGAAAAATAGAATGGAATTTTTCTATGAACTTTTCCAAGTCCCCTCCACACACATACACACAAATATTATATAATACAGTTTTTATGAAAACACGAGGCATAGACTAAATAAAGAGCATCAGAAACAAATGATTTAACACAATTATCATGATTATGTTCGTGTGGTAGCTCTAGGAGTGATTCCTTTCCTTGCTTTTCTCTTGTCCTGGATTGTTTGCACTTTGTTCAGGGACAGTGTGGTGGCCTGGCCCTGTGGTCTTCCCGCCAGCCCCCACATTGATGAACAACTGTATTTCAAGCTATTGACAATATCACCAGTTGAAAAGCGGGTTTTGCTGTAAGTGGCTTACCTTTAATTGGAAAGAAACGCATGAAAAATAAAGTTTCTGTCCAGTAGTCTTTGCTGAAATGAAATCTTGATTTCCTATTCCTCTGAACAATTTTAGGGATCTGGTAAGTAGCTTTTACATAAATAATGCCAAACTTGGTGCAGATTTTTTTCCTTTCAGTTCCTAAATTCAGAGGTATAAAAGGCTCTTCTTCCTTATTTGAATCCCTTTTACATCCTTTATTATTTTTACTACCATATATCTCATTTAAAATGATGCAGAGCTGTGTGTGTGTGTGTGTGTGTGTGTGTGTGTGTGTGTGTGTGAATATGTCTAGTTGCTGTCAGGGAAGCTCTAACTCACAGCACCGTTATCTTTAAGGGAACAAAGCATTGCACAGTCCTGCGCGAACTCTGACATCATTGGTTTGATTGATCTCATTACTGTCACTCTTGGGTCAGACCGTCTCATTGAGGGTCTCCCTCGTTTGACCTGACCTCCTCCTTTACTGGTCGTGGTGCCCTTTTGTAGGAACCGCTCTTTCCTGATGATATGTCCAATGAATGTAAATGAGTTCATTCTGCTGGCAGTCCACCGTGTAGTCCATGTTCTTGGCCAACACCGCAGTACATGCATCAATTTCTTCCCTTCTTCTTTGTCCAGCTTTTGTATGTGTATGAGGTGAGAGAAACCACAATGACTTGGCCCATGCTCACCTTAGTCGTCATACTTACATATTTGCTTTTCAAAATCTTAAAGGGGTCTTACTGAGTCCAGTGCAGGCTCAGAGGGGAGAGAGAAGTGTTTAGTGTAGCTGTTGAGTGAGTAGTCAGGGACAATGTGGCTGCTGAAGTTAAACTGGAACCAAACCAGAAAGGATCTCAAATTCCTCCCAAAGGGGTTAGCATGGACATGTTAGACAGTGGAGAACCGCGCGGGGAATTAGATAGAAGCGAGAGGCTTTGATTTGAGAAATGCTGTGCTTCCTCTAGCTGTAGAGAAACGCACATGGCCTCTGCTTCTCCCCGATCCCTGAGACCGCGGAGGCTGGTGGTGAGGCAGGCAAAACAGAGAAGGTGAGGGGCAAAGGCACGTTTCACTGGGCTTGAGCACCCACGTTTCTTCCCTGCTCACTGCCAGTTTCAAATAAAGGGGTCTTTGTCACATGTTTTAATGGAAATTCTAGATCATAAACAATGCGCCTCCTCACCCTACCCTCTCTTGATTGAGACAAGACTGACATTCCCTCCCTTTTTGGGGAACCCCCTTCATGCTGTGATTCAGTTTCGGAAAGCTAGTTTACACGAACTTGGAGGGAGAGTGAGAAGGAGGAAATGAAAAATGCTGAATCATCAACTTTAAAAAACATGAATCTAAGACTGGAGCATTTGCCGCATTGTGTTGTACTTATTTGTTGATGTCATTTTTCTAATAAAAATCCAGCCATATTCTGTTGATATACAACCTCCCAAGGGGACAAAGGTCATTTAACACAATGCAGTGCACAAAAACAAGCTCTGCATCCCACTTGGTGAGGGGTGACTGCAGTCTTAGGAGTTCCTGGGTGGTCATCTGCAGGGCAATCATTGGTCTCTCTCCATCCGGAGAAAAGAAGGCTGATGAAAACTGAAGGACATATGGGAACAATTAGTCCGATGGACTAATGAGCCGTGTGACCATCCATCTCCACGCCCTGGGGCCAACAGAAATGGATGGTGCCCAGTTACGGCCACCAGCTGCCCTGAAAGGGATCACGGTAGAAGGCTTGGAGAGAGTGGAAGGAAAAGGTGGTACAAGACTAGTCAAAATCACCAACAGGACCAGACTTACGAGCCCGATAGAATCTGGTGGAACCTTTGAGACTATGACCCTTACTCATCCTTCGAGTCTGGAAATGACTCGCCCCCAGGGCTCCACTCTCAGCTAGACAGGTAGGGCTGTAAGATGAGCAAACGCAGTGGGAGGTCCGCACACCTTCGCAGAGGCGACGATGGGCGATGGAAAAGGGACAAGCTCCACAAGGGGGAGGAAAGCAGGTGAGATGGAAACACGACACCTGGGGGCACGTGGGCTCCGTGAGGTTTCACGGCGAGGGGTGCCATCACCGAGGTGAAACAACATGTGTGTGAATTGTTGCGTATCAAACGGATCGGCTCTGTAAATCTTTACCTAATTCACTATAAAAAGTTAAAATCAAATCAAATAAAAACTCCCACCACCTAGCACATGGTGATTGGAACCTGATACCCTTACTGACATAGTCTCATTCTATTTAATAAAGATTATTGATAGCATCTACGTATCGGATCCTATCTTCTTGGTTGTGCGCAGCCAAGCTGCTGGTGATGTATACTGACCCTATATGACCAAGCAGAACTGCTCCATAGGGTTTCCTACCCCAGGAGTCCTGTGTAAGCTCTATATGAGTCTCAATTGACTCAAGGACCGTGGGGTTTGGTTACATTTTCTACATTTTACACCATGAATGTGCGCATCTTCTTTAAAATGAAAAGAAAACATCATCGTTTGGGGAAGCCTCCTTTAACACCTCACTCCACCCCCACTTTCTAGAGCAGCAGTTCTTAACCTGTGGGTCGCGACCCCTTTGGGGGTTAAACGACCCTTTCACAGGGTCGCCTGATTCATCACAGTAGCAAAATGACAGTGATGAAGTAGCAACGAAGATAATGCTGTGGTTGGGGGGTCACCACCACATGAGGCACTGTCTGAAAGGCTCCTGGCATGAGGAGGTTGAGAACCACTGCTCTAGAGGCTGCCTTCTAGCACCTGTCACAGAGTAGGCTATCAAGAAAGCTTCGATAAAATGATCCCCCCCCCCCTTTTCCTTGTGCCCTATATGGAAAGAGGCTAGGGATAGGTCTAAAAGTACTGTTTGGAAGAAGGAATATGCTTCATCAGGAAAAAGGAACTTGCCAAATCCTGTGAGGTTTGGTTTTGCTTTCCTGACATCCCCCCCCCCATCCCCCCTCCAGCCAAAGAGAAGGCTGATGCGGGGGACCGGGCCCTGTGCCCACCAGAAGAAGAGCAGGGATGGCTGGCGGAGAGAGGATGGATGTTGTGGTCACAGGTGGATGCCCTCAGAGTCCATCCTGAGCCCTAATTGTGCTTTTTCTTTTTTTTCTTCAGCAAATTTCTGCTTTCATTTCACCAAGTGATTCGGCTGCTGTCGTGGAAAAGCCATAGGATTTGCCTCTTAATCTCTGATCCTGACACAAGGGCCATGCGTCCCAGCTCACCTTGCATGTCCAGTCTCAACATTTGCTCCCAAGAGAGCGCTTGGTCTGGAGAATTCCATCTCCCAGAGGCTAGTGCTTCTGGTCCCAACAGCCAATCCTCTCTCGAACTCCTGAATCTCAGTCCAAGTCTTTCTCGGAGTGGCCAAGATGCATAGATTGATTTCCTTGGTTGTATGCCCCTCGGCGCTTAGAAGTCTCTCCAGAGAGTCTCATACCTTCAGAGATTTCTTCCGTGTGTGACTGCCGAGGGCCACACCAGTAGAGGGAGACCGATCCTCTCTGGACCAGGAGTTGGGAGACCTTGAGTCTGGATACCCATCTTACACCACCTGGGTCACGCTGTTCTGTCTAGGTTTTTCTTTCCCCATCTGTGCAATGTGAACGCAGAGTAGAATCAGAGAAGGCCACGGACAAGGCGATGCTAGAGAGAACACAGAAGGAACAGAACTTCTGCGCTACAAGACCCTTTTACTGCTTTGGCTGTCTGTCCTGCCTGTAGCCTGGGGAGTCTGGGAGTCAAAATTGATGAAACAAATATCAAAGTCCCCAGACTAGAATGACAAGTCCAGTGGCAATCAGAAGTGTGAGGAGCCCCTATATTATAGGAATATAGGGTAAATAGGGACTATTCCTCTTTAAAAGCAGCGGTGTGACCCTGAGGATGCACACAGAGCTCCCTGGAGCCACACTTGGCTCTCACCATCAATTCCCGCACCCTGAGCTGAAGAAGGTGGAGTCTTAATTGCATCTCTTACCGTGTTAAGTGTCATGGAGTCGGTTCCCACCCACAGTGACCCTATGCACAACCGAACAAAACACTACCCAGCCCCGTGCTGCTCGAGTAGAAACTTTATCATAAAACCACCACAATTGGGATTGAGAAATTGCCATCCCCTCTGGGCTGGTAGAATCACATTTTAGATTAGAAACAAAATAAAGCTCACTTCCGTCGAGTCGAATCGGATGCCTAGTGACCCCATAGAACTGAGTAGAACTGCCCCTATGGATTTCTGAAAGTATAACTCCTTATAGGAATAGAAAGCCTCATCTTTCGTTCTCGGCGTTGGCTGGTGATTTTGAACTGCTGACCTTGCTGTTAGCAGTCTAACACATAAGCCATTATGCTACTAGGGCACCTCTCACATTATGGATCGAGGGTTAGAATATCCAATTCATGCTTACTTCATTTGACTAAATGGAGTTCACATCCTACATCCATGCTACACCTATATCCTCTGGGTTGTCATTAAATAAGAATTTATTGACCATCCATGTTTATGCAAAATAAGAAAAGTACAATTTGTAATATGTAACAGCCACTGCTCTCCTCACCAATCCCCCCTCCCATAGTCAGAGAGAAGGTATGGTAGGAAATCAAGGTCCATTTCCACCTTGAGTGGAAATGGATGGTTTGATTGGCAAAGAGTGGTGATGGATGGTTGGCAAAGGGGGCATGTGGTGATCACAGGTGAATGCCCTCCGACTAGATCCCGAACCTAATTGTGTTTTTGTTTCTTCAGCTAATGTCTGCTCTCATTTCATTAGTTGATTTGGCCACCATATTGGCAAAACCATAGGGGAGACAACCAAATAAATATATATGTGATGGGTGATGTGATGAAAGTAGCTTCAGGGCTCTAGGAGAGTAGAGGCTACACAATTCTGTTGGAAAAACACATCAGAGAAGGTTCTCCAGAGGAGGTGAGCATTTGCTGGTTGTGTGTTCAAGAGGCATCTGTTATCATGCTCTGTTGACAGTTACTGAGAAATGGTGTTGATCTTGAAGGCAATCGATTTGGCTAAACATATGAGCACACGTCCTTTGAATTCTCGGTTTATTATTTCACAAGTATACACACAGCATTGTTTTAAATCATTTTATTAGGGGCTCATACAATTCTTATCACAATCCATACAGACATCAATTGTGTAAGGCACATTTGTACATTCATTGCCCTGCTCATTCTCAAAAATGTGCGCTCTATTAAGCCCCTGGCATCAGCTCCTCATTTTTAAACACAGCATTGTTATTGGGACCTTCGTGAGCAAACATTTCAACCCCATGGGCCAGAGTCTAGGTAGCACAAGTCAACAGGCAAACTCATCGGGTCGCCGCATGACTCTACAAGGCCCCTCCAGAAGGTGTGAACATTTCGTCCTTCCTCCGGGGCGTGTTCTCCCCAATCTCGGTCACTGCAGTTTGGTGCACCACTTCCCTCTAGGGTACAGCGACTTTCCCCCCACTCCACCTCCCTCCTCTTTCCTCTGTGATGTCAGAGCTCTGGGGGGAGAGAAGCTGTTTGAAACTCCTCACTCTCAGCTAGCTTCAGTTTCCTTATCGACACCATGACATCATCTCTACCCTGGAAATTCCACTCACCCTCCTGTGCTCCCACCTCTGTCCAAGGCCCCAAAGTCCCTATAAAGAGGAGTCCCCAACTCAGTATCAGCACAGGACAGTCGGAGTGCTGAAGCTTCTGGATTCTGCAGTCTCAGCGTCTACAAAGCCTCCCCTCAGCCCACACCATGAAGCTCTGCGTGGCCGCCCTCTCTCTGCTTGTGCTGCTGGCTGACTTCTGCTCTCCGGGCCTCACCGCACCGAGTAAGTCCCCCCTTCCACCTATGATTTCTAGAGTCAGGGTTGTGCCAAGCCCATGGCTCTAGTCGGAGTTGGTCTTGATCCAACAGTGGAACTTGAAGATGGGCAAAAGGGAGCTGAAGGATTCGAGATAGACTGCTGTTAACGGTAGATTCTGGTAGACATTCTATCACATTCAAGTGTCTGGGTGTGTAGATGCTGTTTTAATTGGAGAAAAAAACCGATGAGGCTATGAAAGCCAGGCAGAATAATCGGCTACTTGATCAAGTCTAGGTCTCCCCATTTGTGAAACAAAGGGAGTTGGGCATGAGCACTGAGATTCAATCTAACTCCAGTCTTTCAGATTTCTTCCATGGGAACCTCTAGTCAGTAAGGCTCCCACTCAGGGTGCATGAGGTCGGATGGAGGAAACCAACCGTATTTAGGGTTCTGGTAGCGCCAGAGGAACATTGACAAATGAGCAGCTCTCGTGAAACATGTGGCTCTCTCTCTCCTCTTTCTCTCCAGTGGGCTCAGACCCTCCGACTGCCTGCTGCTTCTCCTACACCCTGCGGAAGCTTCCTCGGAACTTTGTGATGGATTACTACGAGACCAGCAGCCTCTGCTCTAAGCCAGCTGTGGTGTAAGTATCAACCACCGGGCTTCTCCGGGAGGTGAGGGCAGAGGCGGGAGGAATGGCAAGGGCGTCTCTGGGTTAGAGGCCCAAGCAGCAGGGAAGTGAGCCCTCGGAACAGAAGCCCTGGTGTCCAGGGAGCTGTGTTGCAACAGGTCACGTGGGCTGGCTTGTTGAGTCCCGTGGGGGCTGGAAAGAGTCAAGGGAGCAGAAGGGGTTCCTGGAAAGAAGTTAACCACAGGTCAGGAAACTAGAAAAAGGTTTTTAAAAGTCACAGAGATGTGAACTGATTTTTTTTAAAATCATGCTAAAAATGTGTAGAAGAGTCATTGCTCAGGACAGTAGAGATTTTAATGGTAAGACTCATGGATTTCCAATTTAAGCAACCGTAAACCATCATTGAGTCCACGGAGTAGAAGTTACGGGGAGTCTTATTTCAGTGTCACTCTCAGGAGCTCCGTCCACTAGAGCCACCCAATGTGCGCCATCAAGGACGGGGTCCAAGTACCAGGAGACACTGGCTATAGACAAAGAAGAGCATCAGATGTCCTCAAAGGTCCTTTGGGATTTTAACTCATCCACTTCTTCGTCCCCAGGTTCCAAACCAGAAGGGGCAAGCAAATCTGTGCCAACCCCAGTGACCCCTGGGTCCAGGAGTACGTGGATGACCTGGAGCTGAACTGAGCCCGCCGAGAGCAGCGCGTCTCCGAAGAAGGACACGCAAGCCCGGGCATCGCTCTGTGAGCCACATCCTCTCCACACTCAGGATTCCTCTCAGCATGCCCTATTCGTTCTCTTAAGTCAAGCCTCATTCTGTGTTATTGTATTTGGCGACATTGAGATTATTTATGTCTGTTTTACTGACTCCCACGTGTCCCCCATGGGGATGGTCCACCACTACGCTTTCTCTGCTCCTGCAGGTACCTCAGTCCTGTCGATGGACTCCATGTGTTTGCATAAAGACCAAACAAATAAAATTTTGTAACAATTGTGACAGTTTCTTTGGGGTTTTCATTTGTATTTGGGGGCGAAGGGAATTGCCGCATAGAGGCTAGTGCAATGATAACTTCTCAGGTGAAGAGTCTATGGTCCCAACTCATTGGCCACTCTGCAGGAGAAGACCAGGCAATCAGCTCCTGTCCAGCTGCCCAAACCAACCACTCATTGCCACCGAGGCGATGCTGACTCATAGCTTCGTCAGGGTCACTGGGAATTGGGAGCGACTTGGTGGCACAAACAACAACTTTAATAAGGATAGTCTTCTGGGTGGCACAAACAATTTGCACTTAGCTACTAACCCAAAGGTCGGCCATTCAAATCCACCCAGAGACACCCCAGAAGGAAAACCTGGCAATCTACTTTCATGAAATGACAACCATTGCAACCCTCAGAGCGCAGTTCTTCTCTGACCCACAGGGAGGTGCTGTGAGTCAGAATTTACTCAATGACAAAGGGTTTTACTTTTACTTAAAAAAAATTATTAGTAGGGACAACAGTTCCCCCAAACAGCAAGAAGGAGCAGTTACTGAGTTACTTCTGTGCGCTCTGGGCTGAATACTCTAAATGCATGACTTCCCATAACATTTCAACACGGATACTGAGGGTCAAAGGGTTATGTGGACTAGACTGGGGCATGCTTTCTGGTGGTTTTGCAGTTAGGGTGTACTCCCCCACCCCTCCCCCATGAGATCTGATAGACGGTAATCACTTCCACTGTGACATCTGCTATGAGCAGCCAGTTACTTGAAATTGTGCTTTCTCGGGGATGTGGCCTGCTTCCAAACATATACGGAGGTTCTGTCAAAGCTCTCCCTGACTTTTGTTGGAGCTCCATCCTGCCTCTGGCTTGACATCATCTGACCTCTGCTTCTTCTTTTTTTTTTTTTTT